GATGACGCCTGCACTCTAACTGGGGCAACAGAGTGAGACTCTGTCTAAAAAAACAGGAAAAAAAACCCAAATTTAAAAACAGAAAAAAAACCAGATCTATTTATATTTTTCACATTGGAGTTCTCTACAGAGCTCTAAATGTGTTACTATATATTGAAAATCATTGAGATTATATTCTATAAACCACTTACCATAAAACTTAAGCTTTGAAAATTCTATTTCTCATATTTTAGTTCTTTGTATTCTATACAAATACACCCTGAATTTTCCCTTCCTGAATCTACCTGTGATTCTTTTCCAGCTTCTAGGACAGACAGTCTGACCTACAACCATATTCAGTACAGTGTCTCTCAATGACACTTTTGCAGACTCGTCCAATATCCCAATGAAGCATATTTTACTATTTTCACATTTATTTATTTAACTCTTAACTCTGAGTCTCCTGCAAAGTATTGCTTCTAAATTCCAGGCAGGTTACTGATACTTACTATTTTTTATTTTAATCTTTGAAGTCATTAACATTCTCCAAAGTAGCCTACACCTTCTGACTTCCCACCTCTATTGGGTGAGGGTCCTGCTGCCTGCAGGCTCAATTACTTGTTCTAGTACTTAATAAGTGCTCAGTAAATGTATTGGTCTCTTAGGATTTTCCATAACAATTTAGTTCTACTAGTCATTATATATTTGGATTCTTTTAGGAGATGCATTGCTACTCTGGAGATTTTAACTGAGAAATTACGCTAGGTAAGTTTACACCTAAGTCCAACAGAGGCCCAAAGAACATCTCAAGTCCAGTTCTTCAGAAGTGGGTGATAAACAGATGAAACGAACAGGCACGTATCCTTAGCTTGCCATAATTCCAGTGACCATGAGAACCACCTCAGGCTGAGCATTGTCATACCTTAAATTGTTTCCCGCAGGTGGAACACAGAAAGTCTTTGCGGTCCGAATGCCGGAGCATGTGGAGTCGCAGCTTGTCAGGGCGGCAGAAGGCCTTGTCACACTCTGTGCACTGGTAGATCTTTTCTGAGTGGAAGCTGCGCACGTGTTTTTTCACCTAGCAGTAAAAACCACGGGAAAACTCATCCGGGGACTCTGGGCACCAGAGGAAATGGCCAAAGACAGCTTATCGAACACTAGGGGGAGCCCCATGCATTACCAGGGGCTTTCATCAACCTGCCCCGCGGAATCCAACGAGATGTGATCATTGGCCTCTATAACACATACTGTCCCTGTCACGAAGAAACAAAACAAGCAGCCAGAACGCCTAAGAAATCCTAACCTCCCAGATGAGTTGAAGAGTGGAAGAAAGAGTGCTTTCTTGGTCAAAGCCCTGGTCACATGGAGCCCTTGTTTTTTTAAGATTAAAAGCAAGAATTCCATCTGAAATTGTTTCATAAATTTAAAAAAAATAAGAGTTCTTTTGGGTTTAAATGAATCTTGATAAAAATGATGTACAGAAATACAAAAAGTAATTCTTCCTCACTTTTCCCTGTCTTTAACACATTAACTGCCACGTGAGTTGTATTTAACACGCCAGTTTTGAGCCCGGGGCCTCATGAAGCATACGTAACTCAAGTCTCCTTACCTTGAACCATATGAACTATTTTTTAAGTTGCATGTAACTCACGCACAGAAAACAAAAAATAACAAATTTTTCATTACATTAGAAAGGATCATTTTGTTTTTGAAGTTTTTATTCTATTTTCGTAACAAAACACCATGGTCCCAAGGAAAAAATTTTTTTTCTAGTGTGGCAATGTGTTAATACGTATAGAAGCAATTTAGCCCCTTTTAGTAATTGATTCTTTACATCTTCCTATAAAATCAGGTTCTGAGGAATTAAAAACATGAATTAGACGATATAGAAAACATTACCCATTTATGATTGATACAACGTTGGTGTCATTTCTCCTTAATTGGGACTTATTCTCCTTACTTTTAGATAACTTAAATAAAGGAATATGGCTTCTGAACTCTCTTAGCCATATATATCCAATGAAGAAGAGCTGTGAGCGGAAGCTAAGTAGTGAGTCATATCAAACTATTCCTGGCCGGGCGTGGTGGCTCACACCTATAATCCCAGCACTTTGGGAAGCTGAGACAGGAGGATCACTTGAGGCCAGGAGATGGAGATCAGCCTGGGCAACAGAGCAAGACTCTGTCTCTAAGAAGAAAAAAAAAAAAACCTATTCCTGTAAGACAGCTTGCTTCATTATTTTTGGAGTTTCTTTTGCCATTACATTCTGCCTTAAAGCAACTCTTCTAATTGTGTAAAATGAGAAAATTTCCAAAACCTCAATACTAGCAGAACAATGATTAAGTCCTCGTCTCCTTTTGCTTTGGTAATTTTTTTAAAAAAGAGTACTTTTACAAGATATTTAATTATTCACTGACTAGCGCAGAAAAATCTTACCACTTAAAGTCCAAATGAAATCATGAATATTCTGAAAGGTATTTTCACCCATTT